ATGGAAATCTGGCTATATTTAATTATTTTTTTTAAATCAAATTAGTAACTCCAAATGAAGAATCTCTATGAGTCTGGTACAGTGGCGAAACAGGAATATTCAGTGGGGTCTTGAGGGTATTGCCTTTGAGTAGAACATCCTGACATTTTTCTGGCAGACTTGTGAAGTCTCATCTAAGTATTTCCCATATATACAAAGATAGGTACCTAATATATATTGTAGCCACCTCTGAATTCCAGCATATCCAAAGGTTGCATCTTGTGTTTAGAATTCCCCTATGGCAGTGTTTCTCAACCAGGGTGCCTTGAGATCCCTTCAAGGGGTGATCAGTGTTAGCACTGTTAGGTGTGTAAACATGATTCACTAGATAAAACCAGAAATTTCAAATAGAAGTTCATAGTCTTAAAAACATTCTGACCTGCTGTGGTCTTTCTTAGGTCTTCTCAACAAAAGGATTCTTCTATTATATTTCTATAGTTGAAAAATGAGTTAAAACTAAGACTTAACTTTTTCCAAGGGGTGCTTGTAGTCTTGAGGGGTCTGCCTTGAGTATAAAAAGGTTCAGAACCACTACCGGGTGGAACTGGATTTATGATGCAGATACCTTGTTCCGGGCAGACCACGACCACTCCATTCAATTATTGGGTCAATGTTATTGATGCACAGTGACAGCAGACAAGAATAATGCAAACAGTTTAATATCTACCAGTCCCAGGGCTCACGGAGTCGAGGTACATCTGGCCAGTATGTGAACCTTTACTTTGAGGTTCTCTCTTCAACATCAGATGTCAGCAGCCTGGAGGTTGAAGGCTGAGGCCCCATCTTCTGCCCAGTGAGGGGGTGGGGGTGAGACAGGCTGGTGGTATGTCCTCTGTCCATGGCTCAGGTTCCCTTCTTAGGGACCCTTTGCTGCTCCAAAATTCCTCCTTTTGTATTATTTCTCTTTTTTTGATGACTCTTCATCTTTGGGCATCATTGATTGGTTTACTTGTGGTCATCATACTGTCCATGTTCTGTACTGTTAGCATATTCTTTTGTTTCACAAACCCATCACATGCACTTATTCTAATTTGGGCTTTCCTGGCCTTCTCCTAATTTGGTCTCTTCCCCAAAACCAAAATCCCAAGGGCTCAACAGCTTGGGCACTGTGACCTGGACAAAGCAGCAGAGTCCTTTATTTCATGTTATGAAACACTGTGGTACATGTCTTCAATTTTCCAGCCTGTGTCTGCTTGATGCCTGCCTGTATCAGACACAGTGGACCTTGAAGGAGACTGTCACAGATAGACTTTTAGAAATCAATTGACCTTTGTCATTGCCCTGAACCATTAGTCTATTCTCATTTACCTACAAGCCAACTCCCTAAAGCAAACCTCTGAATACCATTTTTTAGCCATCACTACCATGGTGTTTAATGGTTGGCTCTTCCTTACTTTTTTATCTTTTAGAGACTGATGTTGGTAACTTGTACAGCACTGTGGCTACAACAGGCCATAGGTAGATTTTTAAAGCGCTTCTTGCCAATTTGGAAATGAATATGCAGTATATTTGAGAGATCAGACTGCATTTATATTTTAAGCTGAATTTTAAGTGCAGTGTTTTGGAGGTCACATTCTAAATTGAATGTTAACAATTATCTTTTAATTTTCTATTATGTTGCAGGCTCTTGTCACATACTCATGCTATCTGAACTGTTGGATTAATTAGTTTTGAGCATTCAGTATAACACCTAATGTCAATACAAAGTAACTTCCATTTTAACTGTGTTTGCAGTAGACTTTGGAAAATCCCCCACTGTTGCATGACCTCCACTAGTGGGAGCTGATGGTTTACCACTGTGTTGTCTACACTTATTCAGTTCAGGTTTACATAACACAGTAATAAAAAAAAATGATTACAGCTGTATAAGCTTTCTCTACACTTGCATTACAGCAGTCAGACTTTCTGGCACACATTGGTCCCTCTTATTCCACAACTGGCAGGGTGTTTTTTCTTAGAAAAGGTCTAGTAGGCCACCTGTTGACAGGTCACTTGTTCAGTTTGTCACCTGTCTACATTCTAGCTGTGGTAACATTTGTCAAAACCATAATTCCTAGCATCAAAGGGTAAAAGCTTTTTTTCTTACCCAGCCCTTTTTATCTCATAGGACACAGTAAAGCTGTTCGCGACATCTGCTTTAACAACGCTGGGACTCAGTTTCTTAGTGCAGCATATGACCGTTATATTAAACTCTGGGACACTGAAACAGGTAGGCTTCAATTCATAAGCATTTTAGTTTGGTAATCTTTGTAGCAGCCATGAATACAAAGTACTGCTGTTTTAAATAGCCAAGTGATTTTCTTTTATTTGTAATGTGTTCTTACAATTTGAAAGCTGCTGCTGCTGAGTACAGGGAGAGCAATTTTCTCTCTCTTTCTGAATTTTTTTCTTGCTTGTAATAATCCAGTTAATTTTATTTTGGCATTCTTGTGAAATTAAAAACCTATGATAGCAAGGTTTGGCAGACTATGAAAACTAACACTGCTAGAAATTGGCCTAGAAAGTGTAATACTGGGACCATTTTTTCCCCAATTACGTTTGGCTAAATCTCGCTTATAGAAATTAACAAATTATATAAATTATATTTTGGAAGGTGTATTTTGGTCCCTTACAAGATGATTCTTCCAGATTTAAAAAAAAAAAAAAAAAAGTCAATTATCTGAAAGAAACAACAATAACCATCAACTGAATTTATTTTGCAAGATTAGTATCTTTTTTTTTTTTTTTTCATTTCAGAGGCTTTCAGGAAATAATTATTCACCTAATGCTGAGTATCATGCAACTAAAAAAATTAATGGGCTCTTTAAAATCCTATTAGCTACTGAGAAGCATTGTTCTTAATGCTTTTCTGATGTTCCAAGGATACCAGTGGTACTTAGTAAATATTACATACTTAAGCTGAAGACTGCTTTACTTTCATGTGGTTTTTCAAATAAGAAGCATATTTTTACTTATGTGGTAAACCTGAGCTGAGTTGTGTAAGTAGCTACTTTCTGTCGTTTCGCAGACTGTAGGTACCATTTTATCAGTGGTACCATTTTATCAGTATCTAAGGTCTTTTTCACCTAGAATAAAAGCAGCTTATCAGTAGGTTCAAAATAATCAGAGTAGGGGGACTCCAGAGAAGAGGAAGCTGTGTAAAACTGTCAGGGCCATCGTAGTGTTTAGGGTTTTTAGAACTATTTGAAATAGCTGAACCCCACAGGTAGTGGATGGCGGTTGTTGGTGCTGCTTGTTAAATGTGGCTTCAGTATTTTTAAAGTGTGGCTCTTTCCTTTAAAACTAGACTTGTTACAGTAGCATTGTGAGGGTTCCAGTTTTGTTTGTAATTGTCAGTATGTGTCAAACTTGCTGTTTACAAGAGAAAAAAGTTTGAATCCTATAAATTGAATGTGATCTTTGAGAGATGTACTGTAATCTCTTCTACTGCTGTATCATCACTGGTAGTAAATGCAGAAGGCCAAATATTGGTCTCCTGCCTAAAATACATACAAGACCAAAGCCAGCCACCCTTGAAAAAGCTTAGAAGGCTTCACCGTCTCCTGCTTCTTGGCTGACAAGGCTATGACTTAGATCTGGGAGGAGGAAGAGAAGTCCCCTTTATCTATTGATGGCTGTAGTGGTAAAATACCATTTAATGCAGATAAGATGCACATGGTTTACCGGCATTCTATTCACTTGGTCACCTAACTGCTCAGTGCAAGTCAAAATGACTCTTGTTTCTACTAGTGCTTCAGTTACTTTCACTAGATATGCCTTCACCTTGCTGTTCTATATAGGTTTTTATACTATGCTGATTATGGCAGTCTCTGAACACCTTCTAGTAGTGCATTAAGCAGCATGACCAACACCTGTTTAAGTGTGATATTATCCACTCTCTTGTTAAAGTAGATGTACATGTACAGATTGCTATATACCTGTTAGAAAAGGCAAGGTAAAAAAAAGAAATGTCTATTCCTAAAGTGGGAAGCAAGGAGTTAATTCCATTATTTGGGGCTTTCTCAGGAGCCAGCCCAGTCTCTTACCCTTCAAGTAGAAAATTCTGTTGTGTGAGAGTAGCAAATATGTCAACCAAAGTCTTCCTCCCAGACCTGTAGTCTGTCTTGTTGCAAGCAAAAATCTCCTTCAGGGTTAAGGAGCTCTGGCTGCTGCCTGAGATGATGGCTGGGTTTTGATGTCCTAAAATTGACATGTGAACTAGAATCAAGTCTAGGGGTATGGCCAGTTGGATAGAGAGCCTGTGACAGTGGTAGAAATGGAGGGTAATTTTATCAGTGTGGGGGGGAGGAGGTAGTCTGCAAAATACCGTTTTTTCCTTGAATCCAAGATGAGGGGGGGGTTTCTGCATTTAAGAGGGGAGAAAAAAGCCCCTTGTTTTAAATTCGAGTAAGAGGTCCCAGCCATGGCCCCGGAGCAGAAGCGGTGAGATGGTAGGCACATGCGGGGGGGATAGGCAACAAGCGTCAAGCTGTTTGACCATCCCTCCCTTCCCCCTTGCTACCTTCCCTACTGCCTGCCCTCCTGTCACTGCTTTCCCTGCTACAGTAGTTGGGGAGTCGAGTTTAAGATGACCCTCCACTAATTAGATTCTATATATGGAGAATTATAACATTTATAATTTTTTTGATGTATAGAATCTAATTATTGACGGTCATCTGAAGTTCAGCGTTGTCTTGGATTTAAGTAGGGTAATGCCCAATTCTCTGTTCCCTGAACAGATTAAAGAGCATGTGTTTTCTGTTTTCTCTTGATCTAAACGAACAAAAACTTCCCTAAGTGCCAAAGGTGACTGTTTCATCAGTGCTTATAATAAAAAAACAACCATAAAAAATAGCTTACAGAACTTATAAACTAACCAAATTTTGAATGACTTGTTTATTCACAGGGCAGTGTATTTCCAGGTTCACAAACAGGAAAGTCCCTTACTGCGTGAAATTCAATCCTGATGAAGATAAACAAAATCTTTTTGTGGCAGGAATGTCTGATAAGAAAATTGTCCAGGTAAACCTCAGCATTATAAAAATGTTCCCTGGGCTCCAGTCCTTACACTTCACCTGAAATATATAAAGCAGATCTTTTTTCTTTGAAGCTTAAAAAATCTTTTGCATAATTAGAATATAGAAACTTTAGTTCTGTTTTAAGTGAGTGTTACTTCATATTCTGTTGCTGAAATAAGTGTTCTTAAAACTACCAAATGCTAGCAATTTCATAGTGTTATGTTTAGAAATGCAGTAAAACAACTTTAGTGTCTCTTACTCCGGCTGTTTAATTTACAGTGGGACATTCGTAGTGGGGAGATTGTACAGGAGTATGATCGGCATCTCGGAGCTGTCAATACCATTGTGTTTGTGGATGAGAATAGACGGTTTGTGAGTACTTCTGATGACAAGAGCTTAAGGGTGTGGGAATGGTAAGTTATAAATCTTACAAAGTTTAACTTAAGATTAATTCTGACCAAACTGGAAAAATGTTAGCAAAACTTTCTTAATCAAATGGTATAGTGACTTCTGGATAACCAAAGGAAAACTTAAATGTTAACATTCCACAAATCCATTTATACTGTTACGTATGATAATTGAAATACATACTAGAAAGCTGTGTGAGAAATGTTGTGCTGATTTTTTTTTTTTTGGCTGATGGTTTTCCAATCCTTTTTACAGTCATTTAGTAATCATATTCTCCATGCCGATTCTACATATTCTGCAGTCAATAGGCTGGTATATTAGTGAGATCTTAAATGTTTTCTTTAGTTAAATTGAACATCCCATGCAAAACCAAGATGTAATACAGTACCTTTATTATAAAAATCCTTTGTAAATGTTGGATGTTTTTAAAACTTTACTTCACTCTTTTTCACTTATTTACAACCCTTATGTGTTGCAGTACTTGAAGACTTTTCTAAAGCCTGTAACATTTCATTGACTCTGAGAGCAAATCAAAATCCTGGGTATCCTAAGAATTCTGTTCATGAGCATCAGGTTGCATTTATTCAACATACTGCCTCAAATTTAAATAAAGCACGTTGTTAAAAAAATAACTGACAACACAACCCATGTTAATATACAGGTTTCACTTGCTTTAGGCTATGCATGAGTTCCTGGAAAACGATGCATAATTCGAATTTGCATAAAGCAGGGGTGGGCAATTATTTCAGGCGGAGGGCCACTTACTGAGTTTTGGCAAGCCATCGAGGGCCACATGACAGGCAGCCAGGGGCAGATAAATATTAATTTTCTAAATTTTCTAGGGGCCTCATGGGCCAGATAAAATGGCCTGGTGGGCCGCATTTTGCCCACCCCTGGCATAAAGGGAATCCACTTTACAATGTAACAAATAGAGATACATTCCAAGACCTTGACTATACTGACCTCCAGACCCATTTCTATACTTTTACAAGACAATTTTGGTACTCACCAAGAGCGGACAGTACGCATAAGCTCAGGGTGGTGGTGAATGTTTAGTTGGTGTGAAGAGAAGGTGATGAAGGCTTCATTGATGGACCAGGGAGAGGGGTAGGAGATAAGCTAGCAGGGCGCTTAGAAGCCACAATGAGGATGGCAACTACAGAAACACGTGTCGCAGACAACGAGCGAGGAACACAGATCCACACAAAAGACTATATTTTGATGCGCGTCACTCCCACAATGCACTGCACAAAGCAGCTGACTGCGGGCTTCCACCACACCGATTTCATAAGAGTGAATTTACCTGGCATACAACGGATTTTTGGTATAATAAGGGTCATTGCATAAGAGCAAATTCGCACGTACAGAACCTGCATAAAGCGAGGAAAACCTGTAGAATTTATAATGGCCCAGAAGAATGCAGTGAATTCTAAAGCTTGTCTGCATCTATCCCAAGCATGCACTGCATGTGGTACCCCACTGCACAAACCCTATGTGCCAGATTGGCAGTGCACATCCCGTATGTGCATATCCCTTGTGCTGTGGGCAGCACCTGTGGTGCCAGATCTAGTCCACACACCGCAGGCAGCACAAGCCCCATAGCAAGACTGGCACATTGCACGAGCTGGATCCAGTGCCACAGGTGCTGTTCACAGCACAAGAGGCTGGTACAGGGCATGCACTGCTTGCAATGCTCCGCTGGACAACTTTGCATGCTGGCTGCTGCACAGTCTGATCTGGACCTCCCCCAAAACCAGTGCACAGGGTTGGTTTGGCACAGGTATTGCATACAGCTCGTGCCCTATACTTGCAGTGAACAGTGCCTGCAGTGCTGGGTCCAGTCCATGCACCAGTGAGACCACCCCCACATTCAGAGTTGGTCTGAGAGCTATAGGCCAGATCACAGGGCTCCACAGGCTATAAGCTGAATGTGAGCCAACAAGTTTGATCTTGTTGCAAAAAAAGGCCAGAAGCATACTATTACCAAGAGTGTCAAAAGGGAAGTGACTGCTGCTCTATACAGCACTGGCTGAAGTCTCACTTGGAGCGTGTCCAGTTTTGGGTCTTACTTCAAGAAGGATGTGGACAGTTGGGAAAGAGTCCAGCACAGAGCAACAAAAATTATTAGGAGCCTGGGAAGCAAGACTTTTGAGGAAAGGTTAAAAGAGCTAGGCTCGCTTAGTCTGGGGAAGAGAAGACGGAGGGAGGATCTGATAAGTGTTCAGATACCTGAAGGGTAATTAATATAGGGAGCATGGAGATGGACTTTTCTCTGTAGTTGTAGGAGACAGGACTTGGAGCAATGGCCTCAAGCTTAAGTAAGAGTAATTGAATTTGGAGATTAGGTGAAACTTTCTGATTCTGAGGATAGTCAAGCATTGGTACAACTACCTAGAGAAACTGGATTCTCCATCATCTGAAGTTTTTAAGAGGTTAGATGGACATTTGGCTGGGATAGTTTATTCAGGGATGATCCTCCCTTAAGCTGGGGCTCAGCTAGATGATGTTGTGAGTTCCCTTCCAATCCTACTTCCCAATGATCCTATGTTAGCTTCATCCGTGAAGTAAAAGTGGCATTATGGTCTGCCTATGGTTTTTATGTGAAAACAATGGAAACTATATTTCCCTTTACCAAATTACAGCATTTATGGTCTCTGTCGCTTCTTATTTCATAGGATCTGTATCAGCACTTAATATAAATGTAGAACAAATTGCTCTTATGTACTACCTTAGTGCGTGTGCTTTTATTATTTTTACATAAAAAGGAAACAAAAATTATAGAAAAGCCTTACTGTCAGTTCAACTGTATTAAGACATCTATTTTATTTCTAGTTTTTCAGAATGTTTTGGTAACCAAAGATGATCTGAAGGCCTACTTTCTCCTATTTTAAAATCTTTTTTGTTTTGCCATTCATGTCAGTTGTCTCACTGAATCTATTTAGGCATATACAAGGAAATCACAAGGTACTTCTGAGGATCAGTGGAAGCCTCTCACATTTGTGCAAATGTGAATCGTCCTAAATTTTGGATCCTTTTGTTTCTTGAGATTCCAGTTAATGGTTGAAAATAAATTAGTAGAGCTCATTTCCCCTCCCTCCCTCCCTCCTTCGTCCCCTTGTCTCTTCCTGAGCAATAAATATCTAATACCTTGTTTTTTAAAGACTCAGGAATAGCCAATCTTGCTAGGTATAAAAGAGTGCCCTCTCATTCAGGTAATTATGAGCTGCACCATGTTCTGTAGTTCAAGTTTTACTTAGGTCTGATTTATAAAGCAATGTAGAGCTCTCTTCTCAGCCTGATGTTCATGGCTGCAGGGTGGTGGTATGCACCAGAATGTTCCAGGAAACGTGCTAATCTGTGGGTAAACTAATTTAACTTTACTGTAAACATTATTAATTTGGAGCCTGAAATCTGTGAAATTTATGTTCAGCACAGTACCTTTTGGAAGAACTCCCAAAGAATTGAAGAAATTCCATATGTCAGATTATCCATAACCATGCTATTATTAATAATCTAGCCAATTGTCCATCAAGAATAACGGGGGTGGGGGGTAGGCTGGGATGCAGTGCTGCCACCTAACGCCCCATCCTGCTGCTGTTCTGCCTCTTGCAGGGAGCGGGGCTGAACTCAGCTCCCCCACCCTCTGTCCAGTCCTCAGCATGGCTTCGGAATCATGACAGTGCTCCCCCACTCTTGGAGCACGCTGATTGGCTGTTTCCATCAGCCAATCGGAGTGTGAGTAAACTGTGACTGACTGACTGACTTAGGTTTTTATCTTATTAGAATCTTTCTAGGGTTTATAATGGGTATTATATGCAACTTGGTTAACTGATTACAAATACTGCATTTACTTCAGAGGCCTGACGACTTTCTTAAAAAGAAACACAAAAGCTTTCAAAGTAAGTATGACCTGTGCTTTTAAGAGCTAGTAATTAAAAGTACAGTTTGTTTGGAGGTAACAATCTAGAAACATTTTGTCAAATGCTGACTGACTGATGTTGTTTACAAGACGTTATAATTTGGCCAAGGCTGGGAGTAGGTTGACATGTCAAACATAATCGCTGAGAACAACTTCTCCTCTGAGAATCTAGCCCCATTTCCAAGACATTATGCTTCCTACAGACTTTGTTTTGGTGTTTACCTAACAACAGGGGTGTTCTTCCTCTGTAGAATAGTAATACAACTAATATTCTATGCCTGCTAAACTGCATTTGTTTGAAGGAGCCTTTTGTTTGAAGGAGTGGTGTATTCTAAAGTTTACCTGCCTGCTTCCTGTATTCTGCACCCTTCTGCCGGCGATATTAAAGCTGACAGCCATTTGTATTCTCTGTCCCCTTGTTTTAGAACCATGATTCTCACCCAGGGTGGTGGAGCACCTTGTGCCACAAGTTCCTTTCAGGGATGTCATGCAGTACTAACAGTCTTAGGTGTGCAGATTCACAGATACCTACAAGAGATTCACAGGATAAACTCAGGGATTTCCAATCAGAGTCCAGTGTGTCAAAAGCATTCTGACTTGTTTTTCTGAGTTCTTTGAACTGAAAAAATGCCCTTTTTGTAGTAAAAAATGGATGAAAGCTAAGCACCAGCATTTTCTGAGGGGTGCCTTGAGACTAACAAGTGGTGCCTTGAGTCTAAAAACGTTGAGGCTGCTTGCAGACATTTAAAAAAACAAAACACGGACGCAAAAAACAACAATAAAATGAAACTAAAAAACCCTGTGCTTTACTGGAGAAGCAGCATATTAGTTTGACCCAGCTGCACAGCATCTGTATAAATCGTATGCATCAGTGGGGCTTTTTTGGCGCTTTTATCTAATAGCTGATTGAATCAGCTATTAGATAAAAGTGCCATAAAACCCCACCAAAGCATCTGATCTATACAGACATTGGGCAAGCCGGGTCCAACTAACGTGATACCTCTTCTGGGTACGTGCTGGGCTTGATGCAGAAGCGCAGAGTTTAAATTAAAGCACCACTTTTTTTTCTTTTTTTTTTAATGTCTTCAAGCAGCCTGAGAGTCACTGTTATAGGCTTTTAATTTTCACCTCTCTTCCTTAGGGTGTTCACATTGTTGCTTGGATAAATAATGATGTGGCTTGGGCTGCTGTGCCATCTGTGTGCTAGAGATGCTCAACACTTCAGTTTTATTTCTTTCTAGTAGAAGGTAGGGTACATTTGCACCTTATGGACCCTTACGGACTAACCAAAGCAAGGTGCAAATCTTCCCTGCCTTCTAGTTGACTTCAGACTAACACAGCTAACTGCATCTTTTACTTTGTTCTGTAGTCAAGACTATAGTAAACAAAATACCCCATCGCAGTACCTAATGCTGGTTTTGCCCAATGCCAGGGAGTGCCCAGATAGCTCTCTCTCACTTAAAAGGACCCTAATGTTTGTTTCCAGCTGGCATATAATGAAGACAACTTGGCTGCACAGTTTGGTGGGAAGGGAGAAGAAAAATCCATAGTTTGTCAGTGAAGATTAAAAATTGCAACACTTAAATCTTTTCAGCTTATAAAATGTTATTTTTGGTTTGGGTTCTTTTTGAGAACTTACAAGGACTTGAATTTTGTGGAATTTAAAGGAAGCAAGAAGAACCATCACGGTTAAATTAGTTTTTAGGTCAGCCAACAAAGGCAGCGGCATCCAGTTTAGTGATCTTTAATAAGTTTATTTTTTAAATGATTGCCTGTTTCACAATTAGATTTGAAACAAGTATAAAAAGTAAATGTCTCTCTCTTCTGCCTCATAGTTTAAGGCAGCAACTCCTGCAGCAGTTCTGGCTATGTCTGGTACATTTTAACATAAAGCAGAGTTGTCTGGAATGCATTCCAGTAGATGAGCCTGCATTAATTTGTACAGAGAGAAGACAGCAGAACTCAGTGCATTTACATTTCTTCTCTCCTTAGAATTAAATGCAGGGAGGAGATTCTCCATAACAATGAGTGTGGTTTTGTGTGTTTTTTGGTTTGGTTTGTTTATTTGGGGGGTTTTGGGGGTGGGGTTATAGCTTTATGGTTTTCTGCCAGTGATATTATGGTCTCTAAGGGTTTGTCTAACCAGGGTGTAGGCTTCTGTTCTGGAGGAGTCGAGGAGAATGTCTCAGGTGCTGCCAGTACTAGGAGTTGAGAAGCATCTGACTCTGTCCTTTTGCAACTGCGACTGAAAGCAGTTTGGATGTTAGTATAAACAGTCCTGCTGAGGAAAGTGTGATGGATCTTCACTGTCTGCATTATCTACATCAATCCCTGAAGTATCTTAATGCAACAGGGGAGTTAAACAAGTCTTGCATTCTTTTATAGAAGGGATCAGAGGAAGCATTTACTTGGTCAGTGCGTTTTAATCATTTTAATTCTCTTTAGACATTTTTCATTTGAACAGCTGACCTCCTCCATGTCTGTATTTTACAGTGGGTGAATAAGCAAGCCAACCTCAGGCAACCCTCCATGCTTCATCCATACATATTTCTTCCTTTTGCAGGGACATTCCTGTAGACTTCAAGTATATAGCAGAGCCAAGTATGCACTCGATGCCTGCAGTGACTTTGTCTCCAAATGGTAAGCTAACTCTTCCCTGCTCTCTTGGGCCTTGTGTACACCAGGAAGTTGTTTTTCCCTAGTTCTATCAACATAACCCACCTCAAGTATGGGTATTTATTCCAGGATAAGAGTGGCATTTTTAGTTTATCATAAACCCTTTTCCAAGCAATGTGAGATTACCTTTTTGGCTATATTTTGTGGTGGGAGGCCACTTTAACAGACCTTAGCTTCAAGTGCAGGCCATTTCCAACCCAACCTGCACTGCCAGAGTTGCAGTCGCTGCCACCGCTTCTCCTCACTGCCCATCCACCATATGACCAATGCTGCAGAAGCCCTCTGACTCTGCAGGTCAGATAAAATGGCTCCATGGGTGTATGTGCTGATTCCTGATCTAGGTTATACTAAAATAAGTATGCCCAAGCAGAGGTTATACCTGTATAACAATAATTGGTTCATAATTATGCCTTTAGCTTTATGCCCGAAAATGCTCACTCCCATATAGACAGACAGAGCCATATAGCTAAGGTTTTTTTTTCACTGGCATAGTGTAGTGGGACTTACTGTTTTTGTATATAGTGACTATAGAATACTCTGTGTTTAAATTCATTCACAGTATGGTAGCAGTTGCTGCTGGTTGCAATGTGCTGAACCATTGCTAGTTGAGCAGCTGATGCATAGTCTCTCAGGAAACAGCTGTTGATCCCATGTTCTTGCCCTTTTCATATTGTAATTTTACATTTTATATGCAACATAAACGTATGCAAGAGACATCCTACCCTCTTCCAGTGTTCCTGACTATGGGCCTTTTATAAAAAACAGAAGTTCTGGTTTTTAGCAGGGATTTATTCACCTTCATGTTACTAATGTAAGAACAAATTTTAATAGAAACGATAATGAAGGAAATGATATTTTCTCCAGCTCTACACACTATCAGGACTAAATGCATCTTTTTGTACCGTACCATTCCTGTTGCTTGGACCAGCAATAAAATACCTTACTGTCAATTTATTTAAACGATTATTAGACTTTCTAGTTAATATCCCAGGTAAGAAGAATAGGAGTCACTGATCCCCTCAACATTGTTTCAGCTAGGCATTGCAGATTCAAAATTTTTTGCAGTCTGTCCCTATGGCTTGATTTTGTTTTTTAAATAAGATCCTGCTGCATCTGATGGCAGCCACCATGGAAAAATATGCCTTTGCCAAGCTGACCTAATTCAACCCCTGCTTCTGACATTATGTAGTTTGCTGTACTTTTATTCAGCTTTCCAGTCAGTTCTCATTTCTTCCACATCATTTCAACATTTTGGTCAAGTTATCTATCAAATATCACAGATCCATTTAGTGTTCAATTGTCTTGAAGATGAGGCACTAAAATATACTGGGACATTCAGGGGAAGCATTTGTTCAATTCTAGAATGTCAGCTATCATATTAAACCAAAATTACCTTGGCCTTATAGCAATCCCAAGTCATATGAATAGAAGTATTTTCAACATAATTGCATCTTTGGCACATTCTATAGTACTAATTGCTTTGAATTTTAATGCATTTGGAAACTAAATTGAAACTTATTTTTAGTGGGAGTTCAAAAGTGGAATTCATTGGGTTTTGTTCCTTACTTACCTTAAGTTGAAATATCTTTGTCAGTTAAAACTTACCTCCTGTGATTGGCAGAGGGAGCAAAGCTATAAAAATGGCACTAAAAGCCTTTAAAAGAAACAGAAGAGGAGTATGGTATGGTTCAAGTGTGGGCATAAGTGCAGTCTCGACTTAGCAGCACACCTGGCTGAGAAGGAACTGGTTATAAAATTATTAAAGTTTTTTGTAAAATGAAATTGTGGTAGAGACATACCTTGAGTGATGTCTGTAGTGTTTCTCCAGTGTTTATTTGCAAAGAGGGATAATGAGACTATCTAAAGTCTAGCCATCATCTTTGCAGTAGACAACAGAAACTTGTTTTAATACTGAATCTGGTGAAATATGCCTGAATACTTATCATAATTCTGCATACATCAAAAAGTGGAACTTCTCAAAATCTAGTTTACTCAACTCTGTTTCTTCACAAGCAGCAATTTGATTCAGTGGCATTGACATCTGACTTTTGCATGTACAGGGAAATGGCTGGCTTGTCAATCAATGGACAATCAAATTTTGATTTTTGGAGCTCAGAATAGATTCCGACTAAACAAAAAGAAAATCTTCAAGGGTCACATGGTGGCTGGCTATGCTTGTCAAGTGGATTTTTCACCTGATATGAGGTAAGTTTTGTGAAAAATATCTTGGATCCTAAGAAAATACAACTACAAGGCCTTGTATTTTAGAAACCCTTCACAGCATGGACTGCATGTGATGAACTGCTGCCCTACTAATCCAGCATTAAAGAAAATGGTCTCGTGCCAGGCAGCAGCAATGGAAGAGGTGAATTTGCCCTTTGCCAGTTAATTTAAGTTGGTCCATAAATGCAATCCTAACATCTGGTCCAGAAACAAACAATAGATTGAGGTATTATTATCAATGAACTCATTGGCCCAGACTCTGTCCACAGGGGACATCTTGTACTGTTGTTATGTTCAACCAGTTTGAGAGTCCACTAAGGAGAGCAGATGTCTCCACTCTGGAAGG